TCTGCAACCGGTTAATCGAACTAACCCTTTGAGCCCTAATAATAATAACAATCAGTGTTCTTCCTAATGAGGTTCCACTGTACAGTCAACTTCGCTTATAACGACACTCGGCGGGGCATTAGAAAAGTGTCCTTGTCCGCGAAGTGTCGTTATACATGTATGTATAACACACGGTTGGATGGGACTTTGCTCTGAGCATGGAAATTCTATCGTTATTTGCGAATTGTCGTTACATGTATATCCGCAGTCGTTATTAGCGAAGTTGACTATACTACCTTTCCCTTCCCATGTACAGATGTAAGCCCTCGCAGGGAATCAGGAACAAGACTTCGAGAAATCAAAGTGTTCATGCGACAACGAACAAAAGCATGACAGCGAAAGGAAAGACGAACCTTCGAAGCTCATCGAATATTTTGATCATCAAAGCTCAATTAACAAATCCAGTTTTGTAAATTCAACATCACAATCTCGTGAAATGGGGTGTAAACTTGTGTGACGCATGGTTGACTGTACCGTGTACGGAGAGAAAATTAATGATAACAACAGTACACTATAATACCTGTTGAAGACGTTGGTATACACTGCCACTATGGCCTACTGAGTGGGAAGCCCGTCCGGAATGCGAAAAATCCGGCTTTCTTGATATCCTTTTTTTTTTAAACTGTTATGCGCACTAATGGACCGTATGCGTGTTAAAACAAAATGGCGTCACGATTTATTGAAAGTGGTATAGTTGGTGGTACGAGTGTTCAAACCCATTTGAGCTTCATACTGTTCGTCTTCTTTTTGACATGCTCTCTTTCCATCGTCCTTAGCTTTTGTTTGTTGAGAGCTGTTTTGGCTTTCTCCTATACCTCGGGGGGATGCCAAGTGATGGTTTTGAGAGGCTGGTGATGGCTGTGAGCGAGAGTTTGCCGATCGGCGTCGTCCTCGCTATAGCGATGAAAATACTAGTTACTGCGCACCTGGCAGATATCACAACACGTCGGAGCGTCCAGGAGCAAAGGAATCTTGGGTTTTCACTGGAATCTAGTTCCTCCAGCATCGTGTAGCCCACCGTCGGTGAATGGCGGTCCAGAAAGGTCGAACCTGGTCTTCTGCAGCATCTCGCAGTCCTGCGAGGCACACTGAATACGCCTGTCATGTATTCTACAAATAAAAATCACGAAGTAGTGGACTTTACAGTGATGAGTCTATCCTGTATGCTACAAAAGACGCAAAAAATGTGACTGGTGTCCGTACATTGGACGCCAATATCATCCCAGTCTTCTCCTCATCGATCTGTTTGACATTGACATACCGGTATGCAGTGGGTCGACATTGGCCTGGTTTGGCAGCTATCTGCCTGGGTGGATGTAGCAGGTTTGCATTGGCGCGTCGTCCAGTCCGACATTTTCTTGTAACTGTGGAGTACCGGCAGGGTTTGAGAGGTTTCTCGTGCTGTGAACACATCTCTACTGCCTGTCTCGTCCTGGAAGTGCCGTCTCGCCGCTTCCTTGCTCTACAGTCGCCCCGTTATTTCGCTTTGTTTCGTGGTGCAGCTCAAAACCTGCCCAAACAACTGTGAGCTCGCAACATGGTATGGACAAATTGCACCACTCATGCTGGTTAACTAAAACCGGGATAGTCGAGTAAGCGAGCACACTCCCTGGGCCATGGCAAGATCTGTTCAGCGCGGGCTATTCCAACCTCCAAGTGCATAGTCACCGATCGATCCATGCGATGGTGGTTGACCTACAAAGAGCCAAGGTCTACGTGTACTACTATTGGATGCTGTCTACATGCAGTCAACAAAATCAAAGTACCTCAGTATGCCCCAGAATAGGGCATGTGCATCTATACTATAGCATGACACAACAGGGGTTCTGGCGGCACCTGTCAAACAAGCAGTAGCGACTAGTGCCAGCTACCTATTGGAGGCTAGCCGCTACAGTCTGTCACTGGAGATAATTATTATGTTCACTGTTTAGACTGAGCACAATCAATGATGCCCAATCAATCTGCCCAATGTGTGTTCTGTTCCACCTAATTATAACGTCCCATCGCATCAACCCTACTACACGCACATGTCGTCACTCTAGCACGACTTGTGTTATTATTGTTTATTGTGATTCGCACGATAAATAGAGCACAATAAACGTTAACTTGACCGAAGGTTAAAGGCGACTGCAGATAGAGGAACACATTAATATACAACAAAGCAATAGCATGCACAGAACCGAACAATTTCATGTTCACACATGCAAGCACAGACCTGAACATTAGTAGTACCAAAAGCCGATACAGACAATATCCCCATACACACAGACGCACACACACACACACACAATGTCCCATGTATGCGCCCGTGGCGAGAAAAGCACGCAAATCTACAAATGCACTGGATGTGAACCCACAGATTTTCTCTTATAGCAACGATAGCGGATCTGATTCTGATTGAAACACACACACAATACAATCATTGAATGCCCATCCGCAGATGATGGCAGGTCCTGAAAGAACAGGCAGTGTTCCAGTGATGGGGAACAGAACTTCGAGTGGCGAGTGAGGTATACACACACACACACACACGTGCGTGCGCGGGCACACACTAAAGTATTCAGAAATAGAATCGACATCGTAGTATTCATTGGTTGGGGAATGGAAAGGAAAATAAAACATTGCTGTAGGTTATTGTTGTAAGGACACTGGGAGCACAACAGAAAGGTAAGCAACTTGCTTTGAAGCAAAGAAAGTTATTATTCCACGGATCTCAGAAGGAAGGAACGTTCCAGAATGCTGCACTGGCAACAGGCGGCCTGCATGTGCGCGGCCCCTGCAGTCGGTCCAGCTGCCGGCCTTGCAGTGCTGAAAAGAATGTGCAGTACAGCATGTCACATAGTATCGCAGCCTGGACAAATAGGCGCTGGGAAGTCCTAGTTATGTGCTCACCTACACCACGATGCACCAATCTTCTGAGCTACTTTGGCAACAACTTTGTCCACTTGAGACTCCCATGGGCTGAGCCAGTTGTTGAGGGCTGCACCAAGGTGGACGGCAATGACCGCTGATGGCAAGGCAATCCATGACACACAGTCACTAGGGCATCGTCAACATGGCGCTGAGGCTGGATCGATAAAATCAACCTTTAGGCTGCCGCGGGGTTGACAACGAGGCCGCTGTCTCGAAGCTAGTCAGTCAGCCTGGTCACCGCCATTGACGAACCAGTCGCCACCGCCAGCAGTGGCGGTAGGTTGTGACAAGTGTGGTGCAATATTGTCAGCAAATTCAGTACTCGGGATAAGATGAGTGACAAAGGGAACGTTGTGTTTGATAATATTGAAGTGAACAGGGATGATCACAAACTCTGCGCGTACTCCACCGTGAGTTACAAGAAAATTCTGGACTGGACGACGAGCAAACACCAACCTGCTACATCCAACCAGGCAGATACTATTACGATAGCTGCCAAACCAGGTAAATGCCGACCTACTGCATAATGTCAATGTCAAACAGATCCTGCAGGAGAAGACTGGGGTGTTGGCGTCCAGTCACTGAGTGTACAGACACCAGTCACATTTCCTGCGTCTTTTGCAGCATACAGGATAGACTCATCACTGTAAAGTCCACTACTTCGTGATTTTTATTTGTAGAATACATGACAGGCGTATTCAGTGTGCCTCGCAGGACTGCGAGATGCTGCAGAAGACCAGGTTCGACCTTTCTGGACCGCCATTCACCGACGGCGGGCTACACGATGCTGGAGGAACTAGATTCCAGTGAAAACCCAAGATTCCTTTGCTCCTGGACGCTCCGACGTGTTGTGATATCTGCCAGGTGCGCAGTAACTAGTATTTTCATCGCTATAGCGAGGACGACGCCGATCGGCAAACTCTCGCTCACAGCCATCACCAGCCTCTCAAAACCATCACTTGGCATCCCCCAGAGGTATAGGAGAAAGCCAAAACAGCTCTCAACAAACAAAAGCTAAGGACGATGGAAAGAGAGCATGTCAAAAAGAAGACGAACAGTATGAAGTTCAAATGGTTTTGAACACTCGTACCACCAACTATACCACTTTCAATAAATCGTGACGCCATTTTGTTTTAACATGAATATCGCGGATTAAAATGACTTCAGGCGAATCAATGACTTTTGGATTTTTAAATACAATTTTTTTAATTTTGTTCTTGTTGGCCTACCCGCAGTTCGTACCCTGGTAGGTCTACAGTACTACCAGTACCGGCTATACTTATAGTATACTACTAGCGCAGTGTTGGAGCATAAGGATAGGAGTGGCTACATCCTTCTTGCAGGTGACAGAGAGCCGTCACCGTGTTCCGCCAAACACCACTGAGCACTGCCAAATGCAGCAAAAGAGAATCTTGCAATGCATTTTTCTCTACATAGATCTACGTGCAGTCGTGCACATGGCCGTGCAGGCGCAGGCAGGAACATGAACAGCCAGTCTTGTCAGTGCACAGACAGCCAGCTAGCTAGCCAGACACTACACTGACTGACAGTCATTCTGTATATCGGTAGACTACGTTCTCTATCCTTTGTCACTGCCACGACACCAGGACACTGACTAGTCTAGTCTGAGTGTCACTGTCACCAGGCAGTGGCATGCAGTGGTCACTGAGTCTGCGTCAGTCCACACAGACTGTCAGTGTGAGTGTGACTCTTGTGAGTGTGAGTGGACACTAGCCCACACCGTCGGCACACGATATCTGCCCGGGCCTGAGCTAGCTCGTAGATCTACTCGTAGTCGCATACTGGGCATAGTTTCCCATTTCACAAGCAATGGAAAATTGTGTAGTGAAGTGGGAATTGTATAAGGAGTTGGAGGTGAGAAATCGCGTAAATCGCGAGGGCTAGACATAGTTATATCTCACCGGAAACTCCGACATGCAATGCAGCACAGACAAGCAGTGACCAGTGGTGACATACGATAACAGAGAGCCAAGCAAACTCAGCGAGTCTGGACTACGTCTACATAGTCATTATCTGCTACGGTCTACTGCTAGCATGCAGTCAACACCCTCGAAGTACCGCGGACAAGCGGTGTTTTGAAGAGGACGACCGATCTCTACCTGGAGCACGGGATGCTGTACCAGTGTTTGATCAGCTCAGTCGTTTACACCGGCCGTACAGACGTCAACAACTCGCCAGTTCAGCGGCGGCATCTCCACTGGCTGCAGAGTCAAGACTGAGTCTGGAGTGTTGGTGTCCGTATGCAAGTTTGCAGACGGTGCGATATTCTGGATGCCGGTGATCTGGTGATGCAGGTTGCCTCGCTGTAGTGTAGCGTAGAACGAGTCCGTTCTGCAGCCTGCAGAGCTGTCGTTTCCTCAGCTGGAAGAAGGACGAAGCGAGAAGCTGGCGTGAATGCCAGTTCAAACAACTTCTTCCAGTCGGCTATGGATCCCAGACCGCTGCTGTGCTGGTTCATAGCGGTTATTTTCTCCTCAAATACAGGTAAGAAGTGGTTCATCTCTGTGACACGAGTTGCGGCTACCCACGTGTGTGTAAACCTTGTATTGAAGGCTAAACGATTGATAGGGGAGGCGTGCTGAAAGCGTAAAAGATGAGTATTGCAATATTCACTGTTCGTATTCTGCCATGGTTGAGCAAATTGCTTTTTCCTAAACTGTTGGATTTGTCATTCGTTAGCCATTCGGTAGTGGAGACGACATTATCGCTTGGCTAGTCGGATTAATGAGCAAGAAGTAATAGTTTTGGTCTGTGCCAAAGTCGATTCAGACTCCAGAGGCAACCCAGGGTTTCATCAATTCAACTAATTATTATTTCACTACCAGTGACAGAGCAATGCCAATGAGCGAAATGACTAGGAGACCCATGCTAGCAGAGCAGCAATGTTTCCGCTTCAACCCTCATAGGCCGTTGTGCAGAACAAGTGTTAGTGTGACTTGGTCTGATTGTAGTGTTTTGTGTGCGGCACAAGTTCCGTGTTGACTTTAATTCAGGACTGTACTCGCAAAGAGATATACGTCTGTAACTAACACACACTGTTACTTTGTAGTGTAAGGGTAATCCAAGGAACACTGATTTCCTCATGTGCATACCAACATTCCCAGCCCATCTAACTGCCGTTTCCTCAATTTCGGAGGTGGCAACATGACTATGTGCATGTATTGACATGTGCATGAAGGTTTGATGCACCCAGGCAGATGCGCAACAAACCCCAAACCCGACGTGTAAAGCAGCCCAAGAAACATTGAAAATGATCACACTCTTTCGCAAGTACTTCAGTATATGGATAAACTCTGTAGTGATCGATAATTATGTTAGCTGCAAGTCGTTGCAAGAGTCCGGGCCAGTCCCCCAAAATAGTTCTCCATTTATCCCCAGAGGAGATCCCACTGTGACAGTGTGAGAGCAGCTTGAGAGGATTTTCCTTTGGCCTGAGCAGCTACTACAGCTGTAGTACTAGTAGTATGCTAGGGACGCCTGACCAGTCACAGTGGGATGCAAGGGCGAGTGAAGTGGTGAGGTACCAACAGCACTACAGTATGTCCGTGATGGTAATGATAGGGGAGAACTGCTGATGTCCTCTGTTTCCTGATCATGATGGTGCCAGATGTTGTGCCATCATTGGGTAAGGCTTGGCAGGGTGGTGTCCCACTGATAGCAATAGCCACAGCGGGCCCACCCACACTGATATACCGCCAGCTACTGCTGTTGCAAGGCAATCCCACCTTTGTCCTTACTCAGCCTCTGTATCCTTCGATCATGACCTTGACTGTCTAGTGATGGAATTGATCATATGCGTCACTCACTATGAACAGTCACCGGCATCATGTTTTACCTGCTTTCTGTACTCTGGGGTGTCGATAAGCAATGGCTGGGTCAAGAATTAATTTTAGCATGGATAGTCTTTCTGCTAACATTGTCATTGTTCAATGTTGCAATTAAAAAAATTATTTGTGGCTCATGCACAGCAGTATATGCTACTTCAACTTAGCAGTGTACATGTAGCATGGCATGTATCCTAGTAGGACAGTGTTCTTGAATCATGGCGCATGGCATGGCACGACAGTGATGAAACACATCTTGTTTCCAATGTCGCCTTCCTGCGAGTACAGAACGACCATGCTGTCTTTATCATTATGGCTACCATGGGCCTGTTTCTAGTCAGTAGAACGTGTGCCGCAGTAAACTAGTGATACATTGGCTGATACTGAGTATACCCTCATTGGGTAGACACTTGCTTGAAGGGAATAAGCACCTAGGCCACCTTGTGACCTACTTATGAAGTTATGTTCTGTTACAGAGCAGTCCTGGCTAAGTGAGGCCAAGGGTTGGATCACCTTAGCATGTGGCCCACTACTACTAGTGGAATGATAACACTCTACTGCTGTAGTAGTACTTCAGTAGTAGTACAGCTGAGGTTCTCATCTCTAATTTTGTTTTGAAGACAATCGGGTGTGTGATAAACTGATAGGATAACACTCCAAGTGCAATGCATCCTGGTGTACTTGTTTGTCATACTATACGGGGGACCTAGGGGGCAGCATGGCACTTTGCCACTTATGCTGCTGCATCCGACTTGCCCATTTTCATGTTATGGTTATTGACAGCACTTGTGTGTTGCTTTCCAAAGGTCCAAAGGTGCACGAGGTGTGTGCACGTGCAGATATAATATTATGTATTGCAGTGAATTATGTGTACAATGAAAGAAGACGTACTTAGATTTGTATATACTTTGCTGTCGTGCATGTGTGTAATATGTATGTATGCACTGTGAAGTGTGTGTGTTTGTGAGTATGTGTGTGTGTGTGTTGTGTGTGTGTGTGTGTGTTGTGTGTGTGTGTGTATGTACGTGCTAGCACTCTTGCCCAGCTGCACCCACTGTATCTTACTCCTTCGTGTGTAGATGTACTTCCTAAGACCATTGTCCCAATATGCATGGGTGTGTACCAATCATGCAAAACTCTTGTCCTTCCTAGCTTGTGTGCTTGTACTGTGGGGCACATGCTTGCCACAGTTGTCACCAATACACCCACTGGGATAGGAGAGAGTCTGAGAGAAACGGCCCCTCGGATACTGTAATGCCACAAGATTGTTAAAAGTGTACTCAGTTTATGTTTGTCAGTACTTTCTGTGCATCTCTTTTTTTACCAAAATCAAGTGAAATGTCAATAGCCGCACAACCACTGACACACATACAAGTCATCCGATAGGGAACTGCTTCTCTGTACCTAAACTTTCTGTTCATCTAGCCCGGTCTTTTGACCTCATACCTAAAGTTTTGAGCACCTAAAATATCTGAAATTAGTGTATCAAAAAAACCCAGATTACCAATGTGTGTGTGTGTTTGTGTGTGTGTGTGTGTGTGTGTGAGTGTGTGTGTGTGTGTGTGTGTGTGCGTGTGCGTGCGTGCGTGTGTACTGTATGTAATGTGTGTGTGTGTGTGTGTGTGTGTGTGCACGCGTGCGTGTATTTTTGTTCTTATCAAACAGGTGTAGTTGCATTACGCACATATAAGTATCTCAAACTTCACAATGGCATTAGAGTTCTGCTTGTGTCAGATCCCCATGCATCAAAATCTGCTGCATCCCTGGATGTCGGAGTCGGCAGCTGGTAAGACTCAGCCAATGTTTACTCCTATAATTATAGTGTTATTCTGTTGTTGGCCCGTGTCAAGAAATTGTAAGCAATGACCGACAGGAATATGTTTTAAACCGCCGCTTTGCTTCTTCTGAACACTTCAAGTCTGTGTATGGGTGGTTGCATATGCATGGCTGGCTGTGACTTCCGACTCAATGCAGACTTGGAACGATGGACACTGGAAACCTGAACGACACTTGACTTCAGCACATCATGAGGATATAGATGTCATGCTGCAGGCATGCAGAGGAAAATTAATGTTTCTGATGAGTTGATACTTGGTGCCTTTACGTCCGCACATCACCATTGATCAGTGATGCCCGCACCGCTGACATACCCCCCCCCCCCCCCCTGTGCTACAGGACTGGCAACATTCCTGTTTTGTTCCAGAACCATGACTAAATGAGTGATTGGTATATTCCTTTGTTGCTCTGCTATGCAGGAGTGATCCGGAAAACATCCCCGGCCTTGCACATTTCCTGGAGCACATGCTTTTCTTAGGAACCAAAAAGTATCCGGTTGAAGGTGAATACCGGCGATTCCTGTCCAAGCACGCGGGAATCGAGAATGCATATACAATATACGAGAATACAAATTTCTATTTCTCCGCAAGTGGCAAGTTGGATGTGTTTTCGGAAGCTTTTGATAGGTAAGTGGTGTGATTTCTTTGATGTGTGCATGTTGTAATGTGTCGGGTTGAATTCATATTGCCACGTGTTGTGGTGCCTGATTGTCACCGGGATGATTTGTTCTCGGCCCTGTGATGCATGCTTCACGTAAGAGGGGGCTATGGTGCATGTCAGAAGTACATGACCCGCAAGAATGTGAATCTACAGTCTGCAGGGTGCGCGATGGCAGATTTTCCCATCGCATAGCACATCTCTACACTCTACATGCTTCCTTTGTATGATAGGAAGAGCACACAGCTCCCCCTCACTGTGGATTTTACTGCGCCTCCCCCTCTGTATTGGCCAGGTTTGCACAGTTCTTTATCGCTCCAACACTAAATGCTGGCGCTGGGCAGCGCGAGATGCAGGCAGTGGACTCCGAGTTCAGGAAACGCCTCAACAACGACTATCTGCGATTCAGACAGGTGAGTGGAGACAGAGAGGTAGATTCCTGATTGGGATTGTTCAGACTGGATGTTGCATGGTACCATGTGTGATTAGCATGTTCCCCATACTTTTTATTGTCGCCTGCTCCTGTTGCTCACATTTAACTTCCTTCATTTTCCTGACCCCGGTCTGCCTTCGCCATTGTTCATCATTTCTTTTCCTCATCTTCTGGAGAGGATGTTTCATTTATTTTATTTTTGTCAGCTACTTAGTAAGCTGTACAACTACAGCGAGATGCATTTTCGACAGCCCTTTGAACATGCGTTTATTTGAACACCGCTGCTCTTCCCTTGATGATCTCCCTGCTGTGGCATTTTATCCCTTGCTTAAAGGGAAAGTACAGTCAACTTTGCGCATAACGACACTCGGCGGGGCATCAGAAAAGTGTCCTTATTCGCGAAGTGTCCTTATAACCGAAGTCCCATTTGAATATATGTGAACCCATATTTTGTATAGTATGATATGCATATCAAAATCAAGCTCTTTTCTTGCTCTATGTCGATGTGTACTCAGTTATTTTCATATTGCAGTTGAAAGGAACTAAAAATTCAATATGCAAGGGAAATCAATTGAAAAATATGCCTTTTTGAGCCATCTACAGGGCCAGAGACATGTACATGTATGATGATTACTGTACAATCATGTACAACTACATGTACATTGTATACATAGGTGTGCTGGTAAATCCAACAATTTTGAAGCCAACATAAAAAAGGAAGAAAACCCCCCCCCCCCCCCCTTGGCTGCATTTTCTTGCATGTGTGCAATAATATCCATCACCAGTGCACCGTAGGTTCTGGTACTTCTGCATGACGGGTACATGTACTTGAAATAGCTGTCAAAAGCCCAGAAAGTCGTTATTCAAGCAGTGGATATGACCACGGGGCACTAAAAGCATGTCGCTATACGCGAATTGTCGTTATTCAGATAGTCGTTATATCCGAAGTTAAATGTATACAGTTAGATGGGACTTTGCTCTGGGCATGGAAATTCGGTCGTTATTCGCGAATTGTCGTTATATCCGCAGTCGTTATTAGCGAAGTTGACTGTATACCCTAAAATAAAATGTTCACCAGTTGTAGTCTTCGGGGTGCTGAGTCGAATGATCTTGGTCCGAGGAAGCTGAGACGCTCCCTTCCTCCTTTATTCCCAATCGAACTCGCGCACTTTCACCGAAACTGGGTTACTGCGCCCCACTAGATAGGGATTTGTATGGAAAAAGTCACTAAAAACGCCGTTTCGTTCTTATAAAAGCGCGGATGACCGCGATTGGTCCATATGTTGTAGTCTTTTGGCCGCTGAGTCGACTGGTTTTGGTCCGAAAAGGTTGCGATGCAGCATTCGGCCCTTATACCTAATCGAACACGGTTGAGTAAGCGGTCACGTGCTCATTTACAGCCTGTTTGGGCCCGTTTATGTCACTCGAGTTGAACCTTTGAACCAGGGAGTCGTAAAAGCCTCTTACGACTCGCTGCTTTGAACCTTTGAGTTGAATCTTGATGTGAAAATTGTACTCTGCAGGCACGGTGACCAGGCGACTGGTGTACGCATGAGCACGTGACCGCTCACTCAACCGTGTTCGATTGGGAATAAGGGCCGAACGCTGCATCGCAGCCTTTTCGGACCAAAACCAGTCGACTCAGCGGCCACAAGACTACAACATATGGACCAATCGCGGTCATCCGTGCTTTTATAAGAACGAAACGGCGTTTTTAGTGACTTTTTCCATACAAATCCCTATCTAGTAGGGCGCAGTCACCCAGTTTCGGTGGAAGTGCGCGAGTTCGATTGGGAATAAAGGAGGAAGGGAGCGTCTCAGTGTCCTCGGACCAAGACCATTCGACTCAGCACCCAGAAGACTACAACTGGTGAAAATTTGATTTTAGGGTGTACTTCCCCTTTCAAGGTGGTTTTCTGTATGATCGTATTCCTTTGTTCCGAGAATTTCATCCTCTAGTTCTCTCTCAACCATTTGCTCTGTGAACGATATCACATCGGGTCGCTCTATCTGTGGTGTGTGATTACGATCAAGAGATCTTTTGTTTAAGTCCAACTCTGACAACAGTTTGCTCGTTTCTGATGTTGCTGATGCTTTGTTGTAGGTGCTCATGACAACTGCAAACCCAGAACATCCCTACCATCGCTTTACGACAGGGACGATTGACAGCCTCAACATCACAGGCATACATCAGAAGCTTGTCACTTTCCACAAGACGTACTACTCTGCCAATTTGGTGAGTGGGCAGTTCCATTATGCTTACCAGAGTTCTTAGAAGCTGGTCGTTAGTTGAAAGATCATTCTGCACGCCAGCATTCAGGCTGAATAGGGCAGTTAAAATTCGCCTTGTTTTGCCTGAAGTGCTAAAGAATGGGTTGGGACTTCCCAAAATACATTTCGTTCCAGCGTAGATTGACAAGGAATGAGAACATGCCAGGCCGGACCAGCTTGCCTTTTGTTCTTTTCCTCGCAAGATCACAGTATGCCTCTGCAACGCTCTCACATGGTCCCTGGTGTTCTAGCCGAGTGAGAAAAACCGTACACTACTGCTATTCTATAGTGGAGTCAGTGACCACTAGGCAGTCACACAGCACTAGTGTAGTATGGGTACAGTTTAGCACACATGAATAGCACAGCACGGCGTAGGTATTCATGGTAAGCTGTGCGCCTACTCACACTGCCTTTGCTCTCTTCTCCTCCTTGTGAGTGAATGAACAACAACGTACAATCCGTAACTGCAGCCCCTGCTCAGTAGCTGTTTGTTTTTGTCCACACAATTATTTATTTTACGAGTTGGGGTTGTGAATAATGGTGAAAAATAAATAAATAAAATAAATAAAAAACTGCATACCTTGAGAATATGGGTGTAACACTAACTTTACTTTGAATGCACACTTAACAGTGTGTGAATGCTCTCACGTTCTTGACTGCAATGTTGTACTGGTATTGTATCTACTGCTTGACGCGTCGACGGTAGATGACACTGGCTGTTCTTGGCAAGGAGTCACTCAACACACTGGAGCGGCTAGTTCAAGACACGTTCAGCAGCGTACCCAATCTGAAGCTGAAGCGGCCCACGTTCAACACGCCAGCGGCGTTTCCTGTGCCGGAATTCACTGGCATCAAGGTGAGGCGCCTGCATGATGGCAGCATGTCTGGCTGCAGTACTGTAACTGCATGTACATGTCTATGATTATTACCAGTTTACCACTATGTTACCAGTCTCTGTGAATACTATAGGCTAATGAGTATAGGCATGTGTGTGTGTGTGTGTGTAGTTTCCTCTCTGCGTAGAGATTGTTGTATTATGATGTAATGCATTACGTAGCCATGCAAGAGCATGCGCGAGATACGCATCTCGCAGCTGCCTACTTTCATGCAGGATCCTTTAGATGTCGCGTCCTTATGATTTGCCTACAATGGCCAAGTGAGAATATAATCCTATCGTAAACAACTAACTTGTTTACCCCGAAACATGGTGTCAGAAGTAAACTAAATAAATGCCCTAGAATTGTCGCAGTAGCGCCACCGGTGCAAGAGGTAAAATGGCAGAAGCAGCCGGATTTACCCCGCCGTCGATGGATTGGCAAGCCGCAGATTTACCTGATGAATTCGAGCGGTTCCAACAATACTGCCTTCTAGTTTTCCAAGGGCCCTTTTCCGACAAGTCCGACAAGGAAAAGGTCGCCTATGTCATGCTATGGATCGGGAGAACTGGTGTTGATGCTTTCAATAGTTTCGAGTGGGATAATGCAAGCGACAAATCCAAAGTAGCTGCCGTCTTCAAGAAATTTAATAAGCATTTGCAGCCACGGGTAAATGCACGACTGGCTCGGTTTGAGCTTCAGAAATACCGCCAGCAACCCGACGAGTCTGTAGATGATTTCTTTGCGAGGTGTAAGAAGAAGACGTCCAAGTGCAAGTTCAGGGACGCTCAGGAGACTAACGATCGCCTGATAGAACAGCTAATCGTGGGGACGAAGCACTCGAAAGTGCAAGAACGCCTGCTGGAGGGTGGTAGTGATTTGACTCTGGACGAAGCGCTTGACAAGGCCCGTACTTATGAAGCAACACAGCGCCACATGGAGCAGCTGTCCACCGCCACCAGCAGCAGCCGTCTACCTGAAACGGTTCACGCCATTTCCAAATCTGTGGGACACACAGACTGCGGCAAATGTGGACGAACCCACCACCCAAGCAAGTGCCCAGCGCACGGCTCCACCTGCAACAAATGCGGGAAGGCGAATCACTGGGCAAACGTATGCCGTTCGCAGGGGAGAGACGAGGCACATGGAAGGGGCCAGCAACGCGGACGCTGGCGCCAGAGGAGCCCCAGCCCGCGGGAGCGCTACCCCCAGAGGAGCCCCAGCCCACGGAGACGCTTCGACGCACTGCATTTCGACGCCGTCATCATCGACAGCGTCGAGCGTCACCAACCGCCACTAGAGCGAGAGGTGTTTGCGACCCTCAATGTCAGCCTGGACAACACCAACAGACCGGCCACCTTGAGAGCCAAGGTGGATACGGGCGCCCAGGGCAACATATTGCCGCTGAGAGTGTTCTGCCAAATGTTTCCCCAGCACGTCGGACCAAACGGATACCCAAAGCCGAAGTCCGTGAAGCCGTCAAGTACCACCCTCACAGCGTACGGCGGATCCAAGATAAAGCAATGCGGAACCCGTCCTATTCCGTGCTCTTACGATGGCAAGAGTCAACTCGCTGACTTCTACATCACGGACTGCCCTGGCACTGCTATCATCGGCCTCCCGACAGCGACAGCCCTGCAGTTAGTCACGCTGAACTGCGCTGTCCAGGAGAAGCCAACGAGCATCCGAGACAAGGACGACCTGATGAAGCAATACCCGAAGTGCTTCGATGGCATTGGGAAATTCCCAGGCAAGTACCACATCACGGTGGACCCCAACGTCGTCCCGGTTGTACACCCTCCACGCCACCTCCACGCCATCGCACTGAGAGACGAGATCAAGACGGAGCTGGAGGACATGATCCAGAACGGCATCATCACCAAGATCCAGGAAGGCGAACCAACAGCATGGGTGAACAGCCTCGTGTTCCGCCTCAAAGACAATGGCAAGCTACGCCTGTGCCTAGACCCCAAGGACCTCAATCACGCCATCCTGCGAGAGCACCACGTGGTCTCCACCATTGAGGAGATCACCCCGAAGTTGAGAGGTGCCAAAGTGTTCTCGATCGTCGACGTCAAATGTGGGTACTGGAATGTGGAGCTCGACGACGAATCCAGTTACCTCACCACCTTCAACACACCATTCGGGCGCTACAGATTCCTTCGCATGCCATTCGGCCTCAAGATGTCGCAAGATGTCTTCCAAGCAAGGATCGACCAGACGTTCGAAGGGTGCTCAGGCGTCACCGGCATCGCAGACGACATCGTCACATACGGGACGTCAGACGAGGACCATGATCTCAACATGCACCAGATGATGGTTCGCTGCGAACAATCTGGTCTCAAGTTGAACCCAGACAAATGCCGCATCAAAGAGGACAAGATCAAGTTCTTCGGCATCATCTGCAGCGCTGACGGAATACAGCCCGACCCGAAGAAGGTCTCAGCGCTGAAGCAGATGGAGCACCCCGAGAACGAGGACGAGCTCCAGACGTTCCTCGGGCTAGTCACGTACATGAGCCCGTTCATACCGAATGCCAGCACACTGACCGCGCACCTGCGTGAGCTGACCAAGCCAGATACACCGTTCGCCTGGACAGACAGCCACCAGCGCACCTTCGACAAGGTCAAGGCCGCCATTTCGACAGAAGTAACGCTCAGTTACTTTGACCCAGGCAAGGCAACGACACTACAAGTCGACGCTTCCATGAAAGGTCTCGGCGCCACTCTGCTGCAGGACGACAAGCCTGTTGCATTCGCCAGCAAGAAGCTTACCGAGACGGAGTCTCGCTACGCCAATATTGAGCGTGAGCTCTTAGCTGTCGTATACGGGTGTGAAAGATTTCACACCTACCTATTCGGTCAGTCATTCACAGTAGAATCCGACCACAAGCCGCTGGAGTCAATCAAGCTCAAGCACCTCCGCGCAGCCCCGCCGCGTCTACAGCGCATGCTGCTGAAGCTGCAGCCGTACGACATGACCATCAAGTACCGCCCCGGAAAGGACATTCCGATCGCAGACGCGCTATCCCGACTGTCGCCAGAGGAAACAGAGCCAATTGAGGACCTCGACGTCAGTGTACACGCCGTGTTCCCGCAATTCAGCGATGCAGCGATGACGAGGATCCGCGAGGAGTCGGCTAAAGACGCCGAGATGTCAGCACTGAAGGAGATGATCTTCAGTGGCTGGCCATCAGAGAGGAGCGCGGTGCCGGCAATTCTGCTCCCGTACTGGAATTTCCGCGACGAGATGAGCACCGAGGACGGTCTCATCCTGAAGAGCAGTCGCGTCCTGATTCCCCCGCCAATGAGGGGGGAAATCCTCAGCAAGCTGCACGCCAGCCACCAAGGCATAGAGAAGACCAAGCTGCGAGCCAGAACGTCCGTCTTCTGGAAGGACATCAACAAGGATATCGAAGCAACTGTCTCATCTTGCACGACGTGCCAGCGCCACCAGAGCAGTCAAGCCAAGGAACCACTGACGCAGCCCGATATTCCGCCAAGGGCATGGCACACCTTAGGCACGGACCTGTTCTACCTCGGCGGGTCAGAATACCTCATTGCCGCCGACTACTACTCCAAGTACTTTATCACCCGGAAGCTGCCTGCCGGACAAGCGACCAGCAGGGCCATCATCCAGCACCTCAAGGAGATTTTCGGTGAGCACGGCATCCCAGCCGTGCTGAAGTCGGACAACGGGCCGCAATACAGCAGCCATCTGTTCGCGGAGTTTGCTGCCGAATATGGATTCCGCCACAGTACGTCGTCGCCACATCACCCGCAGAGTAACGGGTTTATCGAATCGCAAGTCAAGATCGCTAAGAGAGCTCTCGAGAAGGCAAGGGAGAGCGGGACCGACCCGCACTTAGCACTGCTGTGCATTCGCGCCACCCCAGTGTGCCAGGGCTTACCGTCGCCGGCCGAGATGCTGTTCGGTCGTCAGGTACAGGACAACCTGCCTCGCAAACACCAGCGCGACACTCGGGACGAGGCCATCCGACAGAAGCTCGAGGAACGGCAGGACCAGCAGAAAGTACACCATGACCAGCGAGCGCAGTCTCTCCGCCCCCTAGTTCCTGGTCAGCACGTCGGCATCCGCAGCCCGACCACGCACCTGTGGGAACCTGGTATCGTAACCCAGCCTGTCAACGGGCCACGGTCATACATGGTGCAGCCTGACCATGGGACAGAAGTGCGGCGCAACCGTACCCACCTCAGAGAGAGGCGGGTCCACTTCCCGCCGGATGCCAGTCTCGCAGGCCCTCAGCCGCCGAGTGACGTGCCGTCGCCGTGGAGCGACGTTAGCCAGTCTCAGCCGCCGTCACCGTGTGACGTCAGCCAGCCTGCTGAACCTGCCACCCAGCTGTATCGAACACGGTCTGGCCGCGCAGTCGCACCCAGGTCAATCCTGGATGTGTAGGGCCAGAGAGGCCTCATGGACCTGTTCGCTTATGTCACAGTAGCTGAGGTGCCATTGTTATATTGTACATAGAGCTATTGTTGGATACTATGTCTCTGTATTGTTAGCACGCCGTCGTGTGCCATTCATGATTGTTACCTTGTACATAGAGCTATTGTTGGATGTTATGTTCTATATTGTGAACACGCCGTCATATACGTACGGTATGTTATGTAGGTTGTTAAACTCCTTTATGACGAAGGGGATGTTGTATTATGATGTAATGCATTACGTAGCCATGCAAGAGCATGCGCGAGATACGCATCTCGCAGCTGCCTACTTTCATGCAGGATCCTTTAGATGTCGCGTCCTTATGATTTGCCTACAATGGCCAAGTGAGAATATAATCCTATCGTAAACAACTAACTTGTTTACCCCGAAACAGAGATATGCCAAGTTACCAGAACTCTCCTGAGACAACCCGGCGTATGTTGCACATGTACTATGTTTACCTACATGCCTTGCCTAACACCATATTTTGTCGTATGTTTGTCGTGCATGGTTCTTGGCATGCACAGGTATTGATGGAGCCGCTCAGTGTTGTCAACACAGTCTACATGTACTGGCCTCTACCTAGCTTGGACTCAAAGCAGCGAGAACGTCCAATCTACTACATTGCATGGCTGCTGGGACACGAAGGGCGAGGTTCAGTGCTTAGTGAGCTGAAGAGTCGCCAGTGGGCAACATCTGTCCTTGCCGGGCCTGGCTTGCAGACAACTAGTCATTGGCTGATGCAAGTAAGTACTGTACTGCATGCTGCTGTATTCAAGTACATGTACTGCAGGGCACCAGTATATTTTGTATTTAAACACATGGTTGGTATAAATTTAATGTATGGCTTCATCTTACTTAGAGTTTCTCTCTCCCTCTCCCTCTCTCATGTATCTTTCCGCGGTCTGTTCAGGTCAGCCTCACTCTAACAGATTCTGGACTAGCCAATCTTGATGAGGTCCTGTCCCTAGTCTTCCAATACATCCGTCTCATTGAAGACAGAGGTGTTGAGAGCTGGATATACGAGGAACAACAGCGCCTGACACTCCTCAACTACCTGTACCAGCCCAAAGCCAGACCTGATCTCTTCGTCAAGTAAGGAAGGTCTTTACTTGCGAATCATGTGTAGAATAACCTGCCGGATGCTTCAGGTCACTGATAACAATTACAACCCTATCCTGGCGTGCTGTGTGAAAGCTCAGTACACCCTCTCTACTGTAGGTTCTTCCACATCGTTTATTTGCATATTTCTTTCGGCATTGGCATTCTGTGCCACTGTAATCTGGTGTATGCCGTGTGGTGAGCGACATATCATTGTATTGTAAAAATCAATTGACCGTGTGTATGTTTTCCTCCAGGACGATATCTCGCAACATGCAGGTGCTGTCGGACCCAAAGGACTTCCGCCTGCCACCGACACGTAACAAGTTCGACCCGAAGCTGATCCGTAGCATTCTGACACTCCTGACACCACAGCGACTGCTGTTGTTTGTCTCAAGTCCCCACTACTGGCAGCAGCCAAAGGAGCCCATGCCGAATCCTCTCAACATAGCCAAACCAACACTGGACCAAGTCGAGAAGTGGTATAAGACGAAGTAAGCACGATACCAAGATCTCAACTGTCTTTTCTGCACTTAGCAGCCAGCAGTTGGAATCTCTCTCTCTCTCTCTCTCTCTCTCTCTCTCTCTCTCTCTCTCTCTCTCTCTCTCTCTCTCTCTCTCTCTCTCTCTCTTTCCCACTCTGTGATTGCTAGCATTTCTCAGTATGCAGGCCACTGCCATAGGCTGGTGGATGTGTAAGAGTGGAAAATACGAGCATTGATGCTGTTAGTCTTGGACGGAAGTGTAACGTTTTTTAATGTATTCTATAAACCAATGGGATGGAGTGACTCCATCCCACTCCAGGGGCGACTCCAGGGGTAGTGATTGAAAAAGCTGGACTATTTACTGAGTATTTTACTCCCTTGTTTCTGTTCTGTGTTTCTCTTTGGCAGATTCCGAAAGGACAAGCTATCAGCTGAGCTAGTATCTAAGCTACAAACAGCTGCAGTATCCGCAACCCTGGGCATTCCTGCCAAAAATCCATTCGTCCCAGGCAAACTACGTGTATTGGATCACCCGGAGTGCACACCCATCGACTCCTATTCTTTCATGTCACTGGTGGTGCAGAAGCAGCTGAGGCGACGAGAGACAGGCAACTGTAGGCGCAGTGTTGGGAATTGTGGAGAGTGTACATTTAGATACCCTGAACGTCTCCTAAGCAATGGTGGTGAGTGACGCAAAGCAGCAGTTAGTTGTAAGGAGCAAAGCCGCTCCCTGGTAGAAATTTGTAGAGCACTTGGCTATGCAAGAATAGCACTGTGTGTGTGTGTATGTGTGTGTGTATGTGTGTGCGAACGCACGCACGCACACATGGCTGTACATTCATGTGTGCATGTTGTGCGGTCCAGTGCATTACAGGGTTCAGCACACATAGGTAAAATTGAGCGGCGATGTATTGGGATTAGCATGCAGAGTAGAGAGCATTATCTGCAAGGTTGACACTGAAGTTCTTCTCTTCAGGAATGCTTGCTAGTTGCTAATGGATGCATGACATTTTCCGTGTACAGTAGAGAATTAGACTGCCTGTCACATTTGACATGCTGCAGGGTTCAGCCTGTGGTGGAAGCGGGAAATGAACTTCCGCACTCCAAAGCTATACGTGGACGTTTTACTTGGTCATCCACGACTCTCTGGTAACGTGAATGAGGCTGCATCTGCACTGCTATTCCGCCATCTTCTCCTGTCCTATCTGAACGACAAGATCTATCCGGCCAAACTGGCCGGCTTCAGCGTGCAAGTGACCACGTCGGTGGCGGGCGTACAGTTCTTGTTCTTTGGCTACAGTGATGACACGGCGTATAAGAAATTCATCTCAACTGTGTTCAGTGGTAAGTCGTTATTTTCCCACGTGCATTCGCTGTGTACCAGACCAGCAACTGGTATTATATGGACGTATGATAACGTTAGACTGAAGAAAGGCAAGCATGATGTATGTGTGGAGCTCAGTCTTATATCGGTTATAGCTTGTGGAGTACACTGAATAACCCCTAATATACCCCCTTCTCCAATACACAATACTGAACTATACATTGTATTGAAACTAATGGAGAAAGTCACCATGCCTGCATGTGCTGCTGTGTTATGCACTCTGGGTGTTGACAGGACTTGTCGGCTACGAGACTCACACCATGAATGCAACCTGGTTTGCCAGTAGTCAGCGGCGTACTGCCGAAGGTGTGTCGGGATTCGGTGCTACAGCACAGGTGTTCAAGCACGTCCGAACAGTGTATGAAAAGTAAGTGCATGTATAAGTAAATGTAGGGGTACGGACTCAGGGGTGGTGGTGGTGGTGTGGTGGTGGTGGTGGTGTGGTGGTGGTGTGGTGGTGGTGGTGGTGTGGTGGTGGTGGTGGTGGTGGTGGTGGTGGTGGTGGTGGTGGTGGTGGTGTGGTGGTGGTGGTGTGGTGGTGGTGGTGTGGTGGTGGTGGTGGTGGTGGTGGTGGTGTGGTGGTGGTGTGGTGGTTGTAATGGTGTGCTGGAAGCAACACTGGACCAGTGCATTTTTTATATATTTTTTTATTGGGAACACAGCCCTACAAAGAGACATGCGGAGACAAACACAAAACAAGACACAGGGGATGTAGGGACGAACACAGGGGATGTAGGGACGACATGTGTGAATGACTCGGGACGGAGAATGTCTTAAAGAAAATTGTCAGTGCATGACACACATTCTGATTGCTAAGGCTTAGTTCTATCTCTTGCTTTTCAGTTTCCAGGCTTGAAAACCTGCCTGCATGCAGCTACAGTGCTGGTAACTTAAATCCGACCCCCCTAGCGTCTCGTACGAATCGCTAACGCGGCTAGCGCACCGCTAGGGGGGGGGGGGTCGGATTTCAGTTGCCAGCACTGTAGTTCCTAGAGCATGGTACATTCAATGTCGAACATGTACGTGCACCACATAACCTGCACCAACAGTACAGGATTGATGTAATGTGAGAGAATGACAGAAAAGGAGTATTTTATCCATTCAATTTAGTTTGGATCAGCGAGAGCTTGGAATCCCCAGCACACACGCTAGAATAGCCTTGCACCTACTAGTCACAGTGGTGGTATTCCACTTACACAGTAGATGGCCAGATGGACGTTTGAATGTGGATATTTAGAACTAGCTGAGCGTATGGCCATCATGTGACCCAGTCACAGTGAGCAGCTCTAATGCCAGGACTGGTTGCCGCCCCTGTGCTGCTGTCTCTCTGTACCGTTGCTATTTCCACTGCACAGTCGCATAATGCAGAAGATCTTCTACGATCGGCAGAAGCTGGCTGATGCAGTGGGCAAGCTCACGCCCGAAGGCGTCCGCAGTCACATCAGCAAGGTGTTGAAGCACCTCTTTGTGTCCGTGCTGGTGTACGGAAATGCCAACCAACATGAGGTGAGCGAAACAAAAATATCAAAGTCCATACATGCATTGCTACAGTTCATATCTCTGCCATTAGCCAGAAACTATATTCACTTTAAAAAAAAGAATCACTTTCCAAACTATTTAGTACAAAGCCACTCTTGAAATGAATAATATCCACACTGACCTCAACATTGGGTCGGATTTGACTAAGGGGTCAACACTATCTTCCCCTCTCACTGAGTGAAAGTGAGCTCCATCACTGACACCATTCTGTACCCTTTTCCGGCGTGCATGCGCAGGCACAAGTGTATGGCAAGCACGTCGTCCAGCAGCTACAAGCACAGGGTCTGCAGAAGCTGCTGCCACGTAAGGACACCCTGTACCAGCAGCGTCTTCACCTGTCACCGGGCAGCTATGTTGGATTCAGAGTGCAAGGTCCCAACCCGAGCGATGTCAACTCGGGTGTAAACGTCATGTATCAGGTGTGTTGCCGGCACTTTAATTATTCTACTGCACTGCACACTGTACTGTCCTGGTGCTAAGCTGGAGATGTATGGTGTGTGTGTGTGTGTGTGTGTGTGTGCGTGCGCGCATGTGTGTGTGTGTGTGTGTGTGTGCATGTTACATAACTGTACACACACACACACTGTGGCGATAATGAACTTTTGTAATTGGCTCGGTTTTCTCCTTTCTGATTATAGTGGAATGCACGTGGTAGTGTTGTTCATGTTGTCTGCATGTGTGGTCGTACCAGTACGACTGTGACCCGAAGATAGTCAAAGCAGAGAGTTACTGGGCGTGTGTAAGATTGGCGGCGACTATAATTATTGTTTTGTGTTTCTATTGTTGCCGCAGATCGGCCCAGCATGTGGCAGCAGTGGTGATTGTGAGAAGGAGAAGCACTGTCAAGACAAGGACATCAAAAACTTCATCTTGTCACGCGCGTTGGCTTACTACATGAAGGTCAGCTATGCAGTCACTCACATTTCTCTGTGCTCCGATACAATATCACAGTTTCCTCTTTACAGACTAAACACTACCAGGTCAACATTAGTTTCTTAGATAACGTTACCAAGACGACTGCAGCGTATGTCCAGGCACCGTCCAGTTACTGTCTTATTGATGGCTGCCACAACTTACTGTTGATTCTTTCCCTCGCGTTCTTCTCCACAGGCGGCTTGTTTTGAGCAGCTGCGTACTAAGGAACAGTTGGGTTACATTGTCTTCTGTTACCCGTACGAGAGCAATGGCGTGGCGTCGGTTCACTTCATTATCCAGAGTGCCCAGTATGATCCGCAGTTTCTACTCCAGCGAGTGGAAGCGTTTGTCTCTGGCTTCACCAAGACGCTGATGAACAAGATCAGCAGCCGGGTACAGTGGCATCATGGTATTCGTCTCGGCACGGCAGTGGCAATCTCAAATGGTTAGTTGTTTGCTGTCAGGTCATGTTTGTTTAGTGGCATACCCCCATCATCCTCATGTTGCCTGATGATTGCGTAATACATGAAACTCAGAGTAGTGACAACCTAGCCTTGCTTGCCCTTGTTGTTGTTCTGTGTTTAGTGGCATGCCTAAAACGGTTATTCTGTGTTTAGTGACATGCCTAAAACTGTTGTGCTGTTGCTTTCCGTGCTGAAAATGACCCAGCGCTCATTCTTTCATTTGTCTCTGTGATTCTTGCAATTGAACAACTGCTCCTGCAGGGCGAAATATGAAGTTCCGCAGCAAGATGTACTGGCGGAAGATCGTCGAAGGCAGCTGCAAGTTTGACCGCCGCCAGTTGGCCTTCCGTGCCATGCATGAGCTGCTGCATAACCCACGCCGAATGCTGGACTTCTACGAAAAGTTCTTCCTGAGCCGGAGTTCGAGACGCCTTCTGGCTGTGCAGTTGTATGGCAAGGGGAAGCCAGTGTCCACTGTTGCGGCTCCTGGTCAGACAGTTGTCACGGAGGATACAGTGGAAGCGTTCAAGTCACAATCCTCATTCTACGCGCCGGGAACGAACTGAAAATCTCATTTCAGCATTTCACATCCGTGTTGGACATGTGCACCTAGCATGGCATCTAGCTGCGTGCATTGCACTGACCACAGCATGCATGAGCATGCACCAGGCAGAACAAAGAAAAGCAATGTCCGAGTTGGGTTACAAAAGGACTTACACTTGCTACACAGATTCATACATTTTACTCTATCACAGCATTAGCTATCCATTCGATAATTTCCGTTTTGCCACACACATTCAATCCGTACACGATTGCTATTATTATTATTTAATACATCAGATGGAACAGACCATTATCTCCCCTCCCTGTACAAATTTCTCTACCACTATTTTTCCATCCATTATTATATCTGTGAATTCCATCCAGAAGTGTCCTGTACTATTTTGTTGGGTACTTTTGGCATCGAATGAAGAAAGGTGTATTCTGTTTCATTTCAATTCCCAGACATAAACCTAAAAATATCAATATAATATCTTCTGACACCATAACCTATGGATGTGCTGGAAAATGGTGTGGCAAAAAAAGTGAAAAAACATGGCCAGAATTCATTGGGAATACATGTAAATAGGTTTGGGCAGGTCAGGGTGCCATACACAGCTAGATATTTGAGCATGTGAGCCAGAATAGACAAAGAGGATTAGAAAAGGGCTTTGAAGGTCAGGAAGTATAAAAAGTCATGGTACAATGTCATGACATTATAAGCCAGCTTCCGGCACGTGGAAAACTACTCGAATATTTTAAAAAGAAGAAGAATGGTCGGCAATAGTTGAAACGGGAAAACTGGAAAAGGCACGTGATGTACCATTGACACATGGACAACTATGTGAAACTTTTACACAAGACTAAAGACTAAGACACATAAATTATGTAATTTTTATTGAAAATGAGTGTGAAGGTCCCCGTGTGCCATCTGGATATACTCCAAATACTCTGATGCAAGATGAACATGGCAAGTAAGTTCTTGGATTGGTCTTACATCGGTGCGAAGAAGAATTTCTCTGAATAGTCGTAAGCGGTGTTCTTTGCAACATTAGGCCCGCTAAGACGCCAGGAGAGTTCTCCCCAGGTCTTTGCACAGCCACTGCACGTGGTCTAGACAGGATTGCCTCATGGCTAGATGATACTTTAGTTCCTCCTGTTGTTGCATGCCCATGGAAACACAGAAAAAGCAGCAGCAGCACTCTTAGGACTCACTGAGCACACTGCATTGCCCTCAGACCTAATAGCACTGTGGTGGTGTTCTGCATTGCCCTCAGACCTAATAGCACTGTGGTGGTGTTCTGCATTGCCCTCAGACCTAATAGCACTGTGGTGGTGTTCTGCATTGCCCTCAGACCTAATAGCACTGTGGTGGTGTTCTCGTACGAATAAGCGGCAGCTTGGCCCCTGCTTTTGGTCGTACACGGCACATTTCTGGCAATGGAAACAAGGAGTGCGCTTCCCATGCTATCGCAAAGTAGGATCACATGTGTGTGGCAGAATAATCTGAAGTCCTTCTCGCTTCCCTCGTCACCAAGTCACCAAGGTCATCACAAGCCAACGCTTGAGTGACACTACCATGATTACCAATGATACTCAGTGAAGCAGAATGATATTGTCCACATGGAGTTCGTCATTAATTTTTATGTACAGTGCAGCTCCGAGAAATCCGATCAAGCGAGTCAACGCCACGCCGGGCGCTGTGCAGCACTAGACCTGCAAACACCGGGATGATGAACTGGTGCAGGGTGTCAACTTGACTCACAAGATCAGACTTCAGTAAGCAGCACTGTACATGCATCCCGAGTTCCTATAATAACCGGTGACTCAACAAACAACGAAATCAAAGTCACCACTTTTTCCAACAAGCTCACATTGCGCACTGTCTGGTCAGTTGAACCATCTTCGCACATGATTTCGTATGCGAGAAAAAGGAACTGGTGGTGGCAAGAATATCAAGATGGACTGCTCATTGTATGGTCATTGTGTACTTACATGCTTTTCTCATAGAAAACTGGCCGTGTGGTCCCATGCCGGTGTTATTCGCTGGTTTAGGCTGTCCAGTGGGCAGTATGCCAACATGCTGGCCAGGAGCACAGACCGACTCCAGACTGACATTGCCATCAGCGTGTGGCTTCACGCGGAGCAGAGACGTTGCCGTCTACATGTGCAATACCCATACAAATAGAACACAGACAGGACTGTAGTGAGTCAGTACCAACTGGTTGTATGGCATACAGAGAACGACCATGCTAGCTGTGACTGGCATTGAGCTTCCTTCCATGCTGTCTACACACCACTGGGTGGCAGTGCGTGCTAGCATAGGGTATACAATGTACTACAGTATGAATGCATACCGCCGGTACGTCGCAGCCCCAGGTCCAAACACAAGTCGCTTACATCTACACCACTGTGGGTCACTCCTGCTTTATCAATCGTTTGCCATTCGGTCTGTTCTTTAATAACAGAATAATATACTGGTAACGATCACAAGCTACACTTAGAGTGAGTTGTGGCAGCTGGAGAGAGTGCTCGCTGCACCCAAGTGTGCAGAGCCTTATGCAGTACCCGTACTTCAAGAACAGAGAAGAGAAATTAAACTAAAGTAGTGCTGTGACTCGGGGTTTGATTTATCTGACCACGAGCTACTTTTAAAAGTAGAACACGTCTATTCACGCCAGAACATCCTCAACATCCTCAGCCTCCTACTCCAACAAGCTTGATGGTGATGCAAGGTAGTGGAGCAGAGTTACACTCTCAGATTATTCTCGCCTGCTTGTGCTCATTCTAGCACTCACAGGATCAGATTTGTATGTAAACCAGTGTCTCTGGCCTTGCGAGCTCCCTATCTAGTAATAGAGTACAGTGCCAGGTTCTACATACATGTAGAAGTAAGTTATATTGCCGTTACTCCATACCCATACAAGTGCCATTATACCAAATTGATTGCCAAAATCTCTTTTTTGTAGTACAATGGAGAGGAATGTGAAGGAGGTGATGCATTGCAAGTAGATCAAAATATCCATGAGACGTCACATCAGAGCATGTAAGAAAGCTAGGAGCCGCCTAGAATATCCCTGGACACCATTCCATCATGTGACCCCCTAGTTCATGCCCAAGAGGGGTGTAGCGCCACAGCAAACCTCTTGAAGACCAAGAGGGTGTATTGCATCATTTTGTATATACATGGCAGCTTACCGCTCCATTGGAAGAAACAAGCTGGGCATTGATGATGTTGATGTAGAAGCACGGATTGTTTGCACTACGGAGACGAATAGTGTCATATGTCTGACCAGCTGGCTTCTCCACAAAGAAAGTAGCTGTACAAAAGCAATAAAAGAAAGGACTCGCTGCTTAAATTAAAAAAATTGGAGCAAACCCATTCTTGATTTTTTGACAAAGCATGGATCCCGGGCCGGCACTAGCGATCACCTACGTTCACACAAGCATGAATACCATCACAGGCATTCATGATTCACAAGCCATGTTTGTTCAAGAGTGTCCAAATCTCACGGCACCCACCATTGCTGATCTTCTGAGCAGATTTAGTCTGCATTGCACAGCCACCGGTTCACATTTCTGGATGCCATCGTGAAAGGCCAGCAGAGGTACACGCACACACTCCCTGCCATGCCCAGAATGTGTACCCGTGATATGCAGGCCAAACCATAACTGTGTGATTTCGGACCCAGAGTATGGCAGTTGTCATGCTAAAATACAATAAGACAATATCACATTTACGTGCGTCAGACATCACAAACTCAAAGCCATTGCGAATATTAGAAGAAAAGACAGACTCACCAAATGCGCCGAAGCCGCCCTGACCGTTGATAGTTCCGTTGCCAAGAATGCGCAGTGATTTATTGGTTGCCACGGACACTAAATGAATCTTGGACTCGGGCTGGAGTAGAGCCTGAAAGAAAACACGAAGGCAGAGAATGTGCAATTCTGAACTGAGGGGTCGGACATACAATACTTATGCCAGTGTTGTGTTCAATTACACATCCCTTGAGTTATTGCTGTAGGTACACTTGAGGCACACAATGCCTAGTGCTAATGAGTGCATACCAGTCAGTACCAGACTACATTTACCACAGCCGCAGTAATGGGTGACTGGCCCGAAACGTCACAATTTTACAGGACTCCATAAACAAACACTTTATAAAAAGTAACTGAGCGCTTTGACTGAGAATTCGAGTATCAACTGGATAGAGTGATTGTCAGTTGAAAAGCCACCTGTTCTTTACCATGCAGTTGCGTGGAATCTATAAACTTTTTCAAAGTGCAGTAATGCTGAGTCATTGCTGACGTAGCTACTCAGTGAGTGAAAGTACAAGCATAGTTTCGAGTGCCGAGTTGAGAAGAAGAAGAATGGGAACACAGATTGGATTGAGCATAATTTCATTAATTTCACCTTCTTTTACACTCACCATGGCCTGGGATGGGTCCGCCTAAGGGAGAAACGCAAAGAACACACACACACGCACACACACAGAGGTTTGGTACAGCACAACATATTCACGACACAGCAGGTGGACATGAACTATTACTCCTGGCATGACCATGTTAAATGTGCCGATTCAGAATGACGCTGACACCATAACAAGGTATTCCCAAACATGTCCTGGCACGAGCCACACATGTTCCAAATTTAATTTACCATACATTTCATACGCCTACTGGTTAGGCAGCTGCCTAATTTGAGGTGCAGAATTCCAAGGGATGCTCGTATCTTACCGCAGTAACGACAGTAAACTGTCCGTGTGGACCTCGTCCGGTTGCCTTGGCTGGCTTCACACTACCAGAGGGGAGAATACCGACGTGCTGGCCTGGGCACACGCACGACTCGAGGCAAATACTATCACCTTTGTTAGGCTTCACACGCAGTAGAGATGTCTCCGTCTGGACATGCAGAGTGGAGAAGAAAGAAAACGTCAGAAGAGGGGGAACGGTTCCAAAGAAAAAAGGAATGCCATTGGCATGCTCACATACCAGCTAACAATACGGTGAAGATAGAAAATCCGGAAGCTGTACTTAAAAGTGCATGTACTTGCCCATGCTAGAATGAGACTATGTGCAGAGGAGGAACTCAAACCAATGTATTACTCGTAATAAGTAGATGTACGCAAAAATGCACGCACCCCCCCCCCCCCCCCCCCCCCACACACACACACCACACGTACATGGCCAACAAGAATGTTGAGAAGGAACTTACTGCCCCATTCGATGCTACCAGCTGACTCTGGATAATATTCAAGTAGTATTGTGGATTGTTGGCATTGCGCAGTCGGATCACATCCTGTGGCTTTCCAGAAACCTTCTCCACAAAGAACGTAGCTGGTGGCAACAGTAGGTAGAGAAAAGGGCAACAACAGCAACATACCATAGAATCTTTCGTATCCGAGAACCTCGTGACCAAATGGTGAATGCATCACAGACCTGCCCGTAACTTGAAAACATACCAAAAGCAAGGTACACGTGATTTGCTATGTGCCTGGACACAGGAGGTCCACTGGCTCTATTGCACATGTCCCAGTAACCTACGTGCACATGTACATGTTAGTGGTCCTTACAACTCCCCGTATGCGTACTGCAACAGCGGTGTGTCCTTCAAATCACGATGAAGTTCGTCATATGTATCATCATGAATAGTGGTGGTCTGTAGGATGTAGTCCCTGAACTCAACACATGTACACTCTACATGTGTAGTGAGACCTCAGTATATCGTACCTTCAAGGGATGTAAACATCTGTACTTTATAGCTGACATACTGTAGCCGAGGTCAAATGGCTGGCATAGTATACAGCAGGGCCGGCAAAAACAGTACAGTAAAACCTAACTGGACGGCGGCCTTGGTGCAGCAGAAACTGTCCTGATATGACAGGATTCCGGTGGATCCAGGGGTGAAAATTTGATCCACAGCACGTCGGTGCATGAAAGGATTCCGCTTGGTACAGGGCCTGGCAAACACAGGTTTTACCGTACTTTGTGAGTTCATATAACCCATAGTACACTGTATGTTGCATTCAGGGTACTGTTTCACTGTACTTACTGCTATTTACAAATAAAGCAATGGGACTGAAATTTAATTAGCAACTACTCAATACTACTCATGATAATGTACATGCATGTTAGCTCACCAAAAATGCCGCATCCACCCAATCCATTGACAGTTCCATCTCCAAGGATGCGCAAGTTCTTTCTAGTGGCTATCGAGGTGAGATGAATCTTGGCACCGTGGTACAGTTTGGCCTGGAGAAATAGTGTCAGGAAACACACCATGTGTACAGGAATGCACTTCACGCGATACAAAAAGTAAATGTAACCCATATTCAATTCTGACCGCAGGGCCAAGATGTGTTACAGACCCTGTTCCAATGAGCCCGATATACTGCAAACCCATATTCAATTCTGACCGCAGGGCCAAGAGGTGTTACAAACCCTGTTCCAATGAGCCCGATATACTGCGATATAGTGATGGCGGTGCTCATCTCCTCTCCCCGTCACCTTTGCCTCCCCAACCCTTATAACATCATGCAACTCCCACAGCAGCCACTAAGAATAGAGCAAGGCCCTGTCACAACCACTAAGCCATGGTGTCACTTGCATTGACTATCCGTAGTGGTACGTACACAAAATGAGGGTCCTCTAAATCACATGGCAAGCCCTGTCAATACTAGACACCCAGTTCATAAGCATAGGCCTTGTCGTGATAGCATCTTTGGGGAATCACAGTTTCCAATCATGATAGGTTGGTCGTGTTGTACTAAGTTCCTTTACAGCTACTGTCAGGCAGCTTTGAATGACCAAATTGTCAGTGGGCAAAGAACCAAATTGGCATGCACAGCAGAGTACCAGCAGACATGGAAATCCCACTGTCGCAGCAAACAAGCCTTGATGGTCCTTGTTGTTCTGTTCTGAAATCCCACTTATATAGTACTTGAAGTAATAATTATTTACGCCCCTGGGCCCAGCACAAAAAAGATTTTTTAGGAGCATCCATGAGTCCAGCCTTATCAAGCGACATACTTGTGTTTCCTGAGGGGGAAGTTTGAACATGTACGCTGTTTTTAATCACCAGCATTGTCAAGCAATGGGGGGGGGGGGGGGGGGGGGGAGAGAGCAGGGAATCAGGTCCACAGTGGAGAAGAAGAACAGAGTCCCGCCAAGACTAGGGCACACATACAAAAGAAGTAATGAAAACCATACGCACATCTCACGCTTACCAGTACACCGGTTGGGTCTGCGACCACCTAATAACAAACAAACACATGCACACACACACACACACACACACACGCGCGCGCGCATAGAGGAAAGGTGAGGACATTGCATGACACTTCAACAACCATCACACATATTAAATCTTCAGCAGAAGGAAACCCATCTGCCAACATTGAATATCCACCCAAAAGGAGTCAACTTGCAGACAGTATGCACAGAGTATCTCACAAATCCCTTCCCTAAGTTCTCAAGTTCCGAAACAACTGCCATCTACCTAAAATTTAACACCCTGAACACGAGCATACCCATTCACCGTGTACAGACGAGAGACGAGTACAAACCAGGTTTTGGCACGGCTCTCCCCCCTGTACATGTGTACTTTCTGAGTTTCTAGTAAGCAGCCAAGATCAGACAATTATGCGAGCCTGACAAACTGGCCAACAGCGCAACAATCATGTTGATCTTATGATACACTACAAGGGGAAAGGACAACTGCAAAAGACAGATCGTAGGACATAAATAAGAACAACTTACTGGCTGACCTGGAGAGGGAAATTGCTGCAAGAAAGAGCACATAGAAAAATCATTACTGTGTGCACAAATATACCTATATATGCGTACTCTCACGCACACGCGTGCACAGATATACGGATGCAAGTGCACACACACAGTGTGACAATAATAGAGGCAACAGTTGTATCACATACGACGAAACATTCCCAGGTTGAAAACTGTGAACACTATGGCACCCGGATACACAGATAGTACCACTTTTTGTCCCGGATGGTCCACACAGAGCGCATGTAGAGCACTAAAACTTGCCCTGTTGTCCGAAAAATCCGTACCCCTCCTCACTGCCCTGTGACACCCCTGCTGGGTGAATCACACATAACAGTCACTCGTGGCGTTGCTAATGCTAGCATCCACGCAAAACATGTCAGGTACTTTCAGCCATTCAGTTAACTTTCAACCAGCATGGCCCAGGTGGAAAATACCATAGCAACTGTGGAGAGCTGAACTACCACTTCAACGGAAACTCAAATCCGCTACCTCCAAAATTTGGGGGAGAGTACCATCGTTCCTCTGGTTCCGCTCAGCAGAAAACATCTGTGTTCTGCTGTATATGGACTCGCCACAACCAATTTGTTTGAGCTGCATGCATGCAATAAAATGAGTGGGAGATATTCATAGTTCATGTTGATTTACTGCACCATATGCACCACAGTCTACACTGCACCATATGCACCACAGTCTACACTGCTCTCATAGTTCTGCCAAAAGTAGGAGCTTGCATTGTCTGTATGTGTGACCATACACAGCAGCTTCTGCTGGAGCAGGATCTAGGACAAGCCTGGCTGCAGCAAAACCTAGCCGCCAAAGAGGAATCCCTGTGTATATGTGCCCGGGCTCTGGGGGGATAGGGGCTAACACCTTGGCCAAGCAGAGTTCAGCCAGAGCACAACGTAGCCTATCAAGCGTGGAACGTAAGGCCATTTGCAAAGGAAAGTTTAAAATCATTTACCTGCGTTAGGACGTCGGTGTAAGATGGCGGAGGTGCATCATCTGAAGCGTGCACACACAAATACACTTTATTCCCGTAGCTATGCAGAAGACGTTACTTCAGCAACGTCTGGCGCTAGCAAGGGTCCGCACAGCTTTAATTTGGTGTTTATTTGTTTGTTTGTGGCGGACGGACCTCCGTCTGGTGCTATCCCGTATCTGTCCCGTACCGTACCGTACCATTAAAGACAGCTGGCCACAAACAGCTGGCCACAATATTCAAATAGGGCTTTCAAATGCAAGATCATAACGTGAAGCAACTTGGAAGAATGAGTATGAATGCGAAGTGTATCGGGTAATGCATGTAGGGTGATTGTGCGGGTTCGAATCCAAGGTTATGCCCTGAAAAATTGGAGAATTGAAAAATTTATATAACATCCCTATGCTTTTTTGCCTCGGTCATCAAGGTGGTATACGGTGTCGTATTACCCTCGACCGTACCTGTCCCGTACCATACCGTACCATCAAAGACGGCTGGCCACAAACAGCTGGCCACAATATTCAAATACTGAAATAGGGCTTTTTTTCTTTCTTTTTTTGAACTTTGTTTTACTTCGCAAAATCCAAACGGGAATTTCTTCCCAATGACAAGGTAGCGAAGAGGGCAGAAAAAAAAGAAAGAAGAAAAGTGTGTATGCACTGGAAATGATAGTCAGCTGGAAATCAATTGTACGGATCCATTGTCAAACATGGCATTTGCTACTGTTGCATGTAGTCAACGAGCAATTCAAATGCAAGATCATAACGTGAAGCAACTTGGAAGAATTAGTATGCATGCGAAGTGTATCGGGGGATGCATGCAGCTCAGGGCGATAGTGCGGGTTCGAATCCCAGGTTATGTCTTGAAAAAAATAGGAGAAATGAAAAATTTACGTCCTGACACCTAGCTTCAACACATCTCCGTAGCGCTAACCGACAGCCTTCCAACTTGGAAGGTTCAAGGTTATGGAAAGACCAAAGAGGGGAAGGCAAGCGCAACGAAAACGAGCACAAGCTACAGTCCCAACGGAACAAAGAATGTCGATTGTTACTAGACGATGACGAGACCAGTAGGCGATTTGACAAAGCGGTCTAACTACAATTCGAAGCAGCAAAGCAGCACACCACCCAACTTGGGTGGGTCATAAATATCAAAGATAAGTAAAGAAGGGGGAAGCTTTGCGAGAACGAATTGTACAAGCCGAAAGCCAAACTCCTACAGTACTCCTCATGCATGATATTGTGATGGACTAGTTGACTACAAAACAAGTTGTTTCACACGACGTACATTTCGCCGTATGGTTCGTGACGGCTCATCAGGTGTGCAATTTGAAACTCGGGTATTGAGCCAATAATAAAAGTAGAAAGGAAAAGGACATATGGAAACGAGTTAAGAGCAACTCTCCACCACCGTAACTATGCATGAGGAGTACTGTAGGAGTTTGGCTTTCGGCTTGTACAATTCGTTCTCGCAAAGCTTCCCCCTTCTTTACTTATCTTTGATATTTATGACCCACCCAAGTTGGGTGGTGTGCTGCTTTGCTGCTTCGAATTGTGGTTAGACCGCTTTGTCAAATCGCCTACTGGTCTCGTCATCGTCCAGTAACAATCGACATTCTTTGTTCCGTTGGGACTGTAGCTTGTGCTCGTTTTCGTTGCGCTTGCCTTCCCCTCTTTGGTCTTTCCATAACCTTGAACCTTCCAAGTTGAAAAATTTACAATGCTTTTTTTGCCTAGGTCATCAAGGCAAAAAAGCATAGCGTAGGGCCCTGAGCTTCCAAGCTCTCTCGTTTTATTATTGTGTAAGGCTCCCCCCCCCCCCCCCCCCGCCAGTTATGTAAATCAATTGCATTTCGTAGTCGCTTTAATTTCGTAAATTTTGTAAGGCTCCCCGCCAGTTCTGAAAATAAAACCGCTACACTAAAATGTGCCACACGGTACAGTACTGTATGCATGTATGTAGTAGTATGCAGCCACGATAGACAGCATGTATGTAGTACTAGTAGTATGCAGCCACGATAGACAGCATTTTATGAAAGTTGGATGACTAGTTAGATGGCCACGAAATGTTCTTTTGCTCCATTTACAAATACTATTCGCAATACAAAATAGAATTGGTTTACAGCAGTGGGTTGACTTACGGTGCACTACCGGTTGAGCTGCTGGTGCAGCTGCTGGATATGCAGGCTGGGCACTTGCAGGTGGATATGCGGGTTGAGCCGGCGGGTACCCGGGTTTAGCTTCCTGATACCCAGGTTGAGCCGCCTGATACCCAGGTTGAGCTGGCGGATATCCGGGTTGAGCTGGTGGATATCCGGGTTGAGCAGGATACCCTAGGGTGGGTGCTGCTGCTGTTGCTGCAGGATATGTAGTGCTGACAGGAGGCGCGGCAACCCCAGTGGGATAGCCTACCTGGGCTGGGTAGCCTGCTGCCTGCGGGGGGTACCCGGGCTGGGCAGGATGAGCTGGCGGTCCCGTGTAGCCAGCTGGGGCTCCGGGAGCCGGGTATCCGGGCTGAGGGGCCGGGGCGTAACCGCCTGTACTTGAAACGGGGTACCCAGGTACCGTCGGTGCCTCTGGTGGTGGGTAGTAAGCCATTTCAGTCGATGCACCTACACGTAGATCTACGTACACCAGCGACTAGATTCTTCAACAACATGAACAGCAAAAAAAGAAGCAAAAAATACAAGATTAACAAAAGATGATCCCGGCCGGCCGGTCCGCACGCCCGTGAAGGTTTTGGTTTGTCAGACCATGTACCACTCGACTACATAAATTCAACAATTGCAAGACCACCGAGCGTACCATGTATTCAAAATCCGGGGTAACTATCGATGTGCTGAAACGGCATGTACAGGAAACAACGGTACTCAGGACTGAGGTAACAAGTCACTATTTCCACAAAGTGTGTCAGTGGTATCTACTAACCGATCGTATTATAATGGGATGCACTCACTGCAGTACCTCAAGAAACAAAAACATTCGTGAATATTACTCCCTAGCGATAGCATATCATGAGAAAGATGCCATCAATCCATCAACTTGTAACTGTAACTTCATGTTCATGACTTTTTCTGTGACTTGTGAAGTAAACGTTACAAAAATGTAGTTTTGAAGTACTATAATAAGCTGTGCGCCTTGGATCCGCAATGCCAATGGCACTCATGAGTCGGATCGCGGACTGAGCTTTGACTTACGTCATGAGTCCTCTGCGGGGATTTCCCTTCGAAAGTCTTTCAGGCGATCGTGAAACCAGGGAGTCGTATTTTACGACTCCCTGGTGAAACCGAGTTTTGTGCGTGGCCCCAATTATGCAGATTAATTTTTTGTCTTTTTTCTCTTTCTCTCAAACTGATTGCGATGTCAGTTGTTGCTGTAATGGAAAGGCCATTTGGCATATTGTCTTTGTCTTGAGAAGCTTTGAAGCTGCAGACATTTGTTTAACTTTTCGCACAACGATAGAAGTCAGGACAAGCTAATGCTAGCTCCCAACACTCGGTGTGTTTGATTGTTATGTTCTCAAGAGAATTAATTGTAAAGGCAATTGCTACAACAATACTAGTTCACGTTGGCAGTGACGACGCGTCTCCAACAATAACCTCTTATGAGGTAATTTTCTGTGCTTTGTCTAATGTACAGCTTTCACCAGTAAGTGTTTTTGTATGGCTCGAAATGAAAACACCTTAATTTGTGTATGGACAAGGTATTTTGAATTCTAGCCAGACAAAGACACTCGCTGACATGTACGTAATATGTCATGTTTGTTTCACATGTTGCTATTATACTCAGTACATGTAGTGTTGTGAGCCGGAGACATTTACCGTACTCGTGCGATTAGTGCCCCAGTCCGGGGGGGGGGGGGGGGGGGGGGTCTATTTTTTCAATAGAGAGTTTTCGCACGGCGTGCAACGCGCTCACTTGACGCGTTCGAAGGTCACGTGCCACGTTCAGAAGCGAGGCAAACGCGCGTTGCCAACGTGGAACGCGGCCTCATCACGTTGGCACTTGATGGCCCAGCACGTGCGATTTACGCAAAGTTCTAATGGTTCACCATGTTCACCTGCTGCGAAAGCTCTTTTCAAGTGCGTCACGCACGCGAATAGCCTCGCGTTCGGCCTTGTCACGTTGCACGCCGTGCGAAAACTCTCTAATGCCTATCACAGTTGGCGCACTAGCACTATTCAAGAGGTGGCACTATTTTTTCAATGCTGGTAAATTTACGTCATCAGGCATAAAAACAAAGAAGGAAAAGAAAAACAGAGTCTAAAGTGTACTGTAAACTACCAAGACTGAACAGAAAGGGCAACAAGAACTGCGATTTTGATCTTGAAACCCCCAGTGCGATGACATGGACAAGAACATTACCAAAAGAGCACCAAATTTGCACATGCGATTGGTTACAAGGGGGGGGGGGGGGGGGGGAGCACTATTCAAGAGAGTGCTTTATTTTTTCACGAGACTAGGGCACTATTCAAGAGAGGGCTCTAATCGCACGAGTACAGTACTGTGTTTTGAAATCCCTTGAAAGAGACAACGGGAAACACAATCCTCATGGAGCCATGCCATTCACAGACCTTTGTGTGTCTGTCTGTTTGCATGTGTATGTGCGTGTGTTTGTATGTATGTGCACATGGTGTATGCATGCATGATGTGTATGTGCGTGCATGTGCGTGTGTTTGTCTGTATGTGTACATGGTGTGTGCATGTGCATGCATGTGTATGTGCGCATGGGCTCGGGTGCTTTGTCAACAGTGATAGCCAGAACGGATGGGTTTGCAGTGGACCATGCCTACACCATCACCATCTGTGAAATGATCAGTCGAGTATTGCAGTCACAGGACCAGTGGAGGTGTTTAGAAGTCGAGAAGTGAAGAGCCAATCATCTTTGCTGACGTATTAGATATAACATGGATCACACATCAACGGTAACACCCAAGCAAGTACCAGGTCGAGGCAAGCGGTCAGCCTCCACAACGCCAACATCGCAGAATAGTGTTGGATTTGCTAGCTCCACCACACCCAGTGCTGTGCTAAAGGGCCGAGGTCGCAGTCGAGGCAAGGTCATACCAGTGAATAGTCCTGTAACACCAGGCGGGCTGGCTGGACGACATGTCCCGACACCAGCCACAACTGCTGCTGCTTCCGACAATGCAACGCTGCCGACAGATAGCGAAAGCAATGGAGCTGATGCAATCGTACAGGAGTGTGCAGTACATCCGCTGGAGACACCCAGGCCTGCAACTGCCGGGCATGCATGTCACCCAGGCCAGCTATCAGCATCACATGACACTAGTGATTTCAGTGCTGCACCTGTCCATAGGGATGATGATGACGATGGTCAGAAGAAGCAGCATGGTCCAGATCAAGTCAGGGAAGATGTGAGTGTGGCCTTACTGGATGATGATAATGACGACAGTAGAAACGTATCCCATGGAACGTGTTCAATCACTGAATCCAATGATAGTGCATCGTGGGGAATGTTCAACAGGGGTGCATTGTCTGCTGCCGATGCTGCTGCTGCTGATGATGAAGCGTGGGGTGCTTCTGCTGCCACAAGCACACGCAGAAAGCCTGATCTCCTCGAACTGACTGAGGAGCAGCCATCTAACTTTGATGCCACCTGGGGAAGTTCAGCTACCAGCGATAGCGCTGGTTCTTGGGGTGCACTGTCGAACAATGCCGGGACCAGCTGGGGAAATATGAAGACTGAAGGCAATGCTAAGGGGTCACCTCAAACAGACAAGAACTGGCCAAAATCGACGCACAGTAACAGCAGGTCGGCAGCATCAAAAACTAATATGGACGACTGGGGACTGTCAACTGATGGTAGTGGCAAGTGGGACAATCCCAAGAAGAGTACCAATGCCCGGAGCTTCAAGTCTGAGTCATCTCCCAGCCACCGCGCTGACGCCACCCGCTGGCAGTCAAAGTCTCGCCATGCATCTGCCAGTGAGGCTACCAAACCTGCTGCTGCTGCGTCTCGATGTAGCTTCACCTTCGACGATCTCCCGTTTAGAAAAGGAACTGCTTTGGCCAGCCACAGTTCTCCTGATACCTTGCCTGGAGGTGCTGTATTGTGTGTGAAGAACCTACTAGATGACCACAGGCCCGCCGTACTGGAAGTACAGCGCGTACGAGAGTTGTTGCTGGACAGATTGCAGCGTTACAGGCCTTTTATAAGAAGCCTTTCAATCCAACAAGGCATATCGTACATGCTCTTCAACCACGTACATGCTGCTGAAGCTGCACGCGATGAACTGACCAGCTTGCCAGTGCCAGTGCGCTACGACAACAGACGGCTTACCTTCCATGTCAACCACAATCCTGAAAAACTCACCAAGTCCTTGGAGTATGAGAGGCGACGGCCCGAGAGTATTGTCACCGCCGTCTCTCAACTGCAGGTGTTCGATAAGGACTCTTGGGCGAAAAAGAAACCCTCAAGTGATCGCGCATTTTCACCTAGGGGTGCATCGGCCGCCGTGTCTAATGAATCGCCAGCTAGTTTGGATTGGCCTACGACCGAGGCCGCACCTGTGACTAGTGAACAGGGCTGGCCAGCGGGTATTGATCGACCCTCTTCAGCAGCATCAGAACGTGTTACTTCAAAGTCTGGACAAGGGCACACGACAGAAAGACCACAAAGTCGAAATAGAAACAGCCAAGGCAACGGGCGCTGGCAGAAAGAGCGCAGCACTTTGCCCAGGAGTACTCCCGATCAGCTTGCCACCCAGCTATCTTCAGTTGAAATTGGTGCTAGATCCGACATACTTGTGTCCAGTTCATCTACTGTTGTGTCCTCATCTGGTGGAGATCTGAATGTCACTGCCAGTGGCGCATTATTTGCTTCACCGTCTAGCTCAGCCCCGGGAAAGATGGGCGGCCAGTTGACGCTGTCCAACTCTGACGGTGCTGGGCATAGGGGTGGCAGTAAATCAAATGGCTTATCATCTCAGAGCCATGCCAAACATAGTCCCGACTTGCCCACTCTGCCTGGAAATGCCAATGGCTTCACGGGGAAAACAGCGCGAGTGCCTCGCCTCGGTATGAACAAGCTACATTCTGACACTACTTCCAGTGACTTGCGGACTTGCAGTTCTGGCCCTGCAGCATCACAGCTCCCATTGCCTCCATTCGACAGAAGTGACAGCGCCCAGTCAATGTCAACTTGCAGCGGTGAGTCTGGCGTTAAAACATTGTCCGACGGTGATTGTAGTTCAGTGTCTTCAGACTCATTCACTGCAGACTCAACAACATGTGCCTCTGTGGGTGGCAAGTCAAAAAGTCGAAACACTAAGCGACACACAATCTGGGTAGGAAGTCTGCAGAAATCATTGGGACCTACCAAGTTGAAACAACTTCTGAGTGCTGCTGTCGCCAACTTGCCTGGTCTGGTTGATGTCCACATCAATGGCGCTATAGGTTTCATCAACTTCACGAACAGGGCAAGAACGGAAAGGGCATTTGCTATCCTCTCAGCCAAGCCACTTCTGCTGCATGGCAGTGCAGTGCGTTTACGCCTGGGCGATGATGACGTGCCAACCAGGAAGGCAAGGCTGGAAGACGACAGGCGTAAGAACCACTCTGCTACGTCAACCAGCTCATGGACATCAGCCAGCTCTGACACCGTGGGATCATCCAGAAATCAGGCATCAACCAGTTTCAACCAGCAAGCTGTATTGCAATCCCCAGAACGCCCTCCTGCGTCAGACGCACCATCCACCCTGGACTCTCACTTCACTGCGGGGCCCGCGAAAGGAGCGTTACGACCACCTGCAGCCATGACTATGGCCGCCTCTGTAACTGTTTCTGTGAGTGGCTTTTCTGTGCATCAAGACATAGGCGGGGTGGCCGACTTCTTTAGCGCCTATAGTGAGTGGATTGTTGATATACGGCAATGTGCCGACGACCATGTTCTAGTTGACTTCAGTGACTTGACACAAGCTAATTATGCCTACTTGGAGCTGGACGACACAGAGTGGTGTGGGCGCCCTGTGAAGCTACTCGTCATCGAGCGTGCACAGAAGGAGGAGAATGTGCCGACTACCTCGCAAGCAGTGGAGCAAGTCAAGCAGACAACAGCTAGTCGGTGAGTACAGAAAGGTCAATACCCTTGTTGTGCTTTTCTTTCGCCTTAGCGTGCTCCGTTGAATTTTTTGTAGCATTCATCACGGCTATGTGCAATGTGTGTGTGTGTGCGTGCGTGCGTGTTGTGTGTGTGTGTGTGGGAGGGGGGGGGGGGGAGTAGGTATGTGATCACTTTGCCGTAATGCAGTACACGTAGCAACTTTCCACCCGTTGTGCACTACATAGGAGTCGAATGCAAAGTGTTTGATATGCCCCTCTGCAACTACTTCACAGGTGGTACAGCCCTGGTCTATGTGACCATCTGAACCACTGGGGAGTCTCAGGTAGCCTAGCACAGCCCAGCTCACCCACCTCTGGAAGGGGACGGTGTTGCCAAAGTTAACGGCTTCCAATGACAACAGTTGGCAGACACTCAACAGCTACATTTCAAACTAAGGCTCTTCCGGTAATTAGTCCAACATCAGTCATCATGACCATCATAACAAAATAATATCTTCGAATTACTCCCCTAGTATAATGAGGGTCTGAACCAGGGACTGACCCCATATTGTTCTAATTGTCGTCAAGACTAGGGCTCTGCCAACCGATGATGGTTGTAGTCCGGAGCACTGTCGTTTCAACACAGTGTGTCCTCCACCTTATTAACATGCTGTCAACTAAAAATAAACATGTACATGTATGAATGAGCATGACTATGTACATGTGTGTGTGTGTGTGTGTGTGTGTGTGTGTGTGTGTGTGTGTGTGTGTGTGTGTGTGTGTGTGTGTGTGTGTGTGTGTGTGTGTGTGCGCGCGCGCGCTTGTATGCATGTGCATGTACAGCCCTTCTCGACTTCGTCAGGCAGGTCAGATTCGTCTGGAAAAAGCCATGAGTGAACATTGCTTTGACTTTCTCAAGAAATCGTGGTCTTCGTTACTGCAAGGCTTAGCTGCACCAACTGGTGGCCAGGCTGCTATTACTTTCCGTTGGAGTGATGGTGCCGCCTCACTATCTGGTAAGACTATAATAGTGCGTTAGTGTGGTGCTACATGTGCTTAGCAAAACCTAGCCTCTTTCTTCTCTCTCTCTCTCTCTCTCTCTCTCTCTCTCTCTCTCTCTCTCTCTCTCCCTTTCTTTTTCTCCCTCTCTCTCTCATGTATGGTATACACCATGCACTGTGCAAGTGTCAGGTAGCTACAGCCTATGTGGCAGTTGAAGCAGTAGGTGTGGTGATATGATGATTTTCTTCTATATACGTACCATTGCTGTGATCCCACTCCTCTCACACCAGCCAGTGGATAGCACTGTTTTATCTTTGAGCATGACAATAAAAACATTGTGCCAACACTATAATTTCTGCATTACGCTGCAGAAGTCTTTTCTTGATCCGACCCTGTTTGCTGCACACACATGTACATGCACCCCTTTTTCGTCTCGTATTCTCTCTTGATCTATCTATTTCGCTCCTGCTCTTGTGGTAGTTGAGCACTCTCATGTGGGGTAATGCCTTTGCTGTTTGCGTTACGCAGAGCTCACTGACTTGCCAGTTTGAGCACTCTGGCAAGGTACGTTTGGGCCTTGTTTAAATCTGGCTTTTGAAATTTT